CCCCCGTTCTTTAGTATACAGAAGAAATATCACTCAAAATCAAGCAAATCAATATCAATCTCAGCAATATAGTTTTGCTGGATGAAGAAGGAAAGGAGAATCTCTTGAATTTCAGTTTCTCGGGAATCAACGAGATCAACTTCGCAGCCTATCTGTCAGAGGTAAGATAAGCTCAAGTGGCTCAGGGAGAGCGCTTTGACACTGAAAACAGTTCAGAACCTGTATATAGGTGTGTGGCAAAGCAGTTGTTTCCTTTGGTGATGCAGAGCCGTAACTCCGTCCGCCTGTCTGTCTAGCATTTTTGTATCCTGCCTTTCTTCCGAGGGCCTCAAGGTGGCCCACGTGGTCCTCCCTTCCCCATCTCACCCTCACAACAAGCTCTGTGAGGTGACTTTGGCTGAGAGGCTCTGATTGGCCTGAGCCCACCCAAATGAGCTTCTTGGGAGGAGGGACAGATTTGAAGCCAGGAATTCTAAATCCTCATGGGATGCTGTGATGCGGGGCTCCCAAATGGGTGCCTGGGGGCGCTGTGATGCCCGCCGACGCCTTTCCAGGAGCCCACCCTGCGTTTTTAGAAAGCGAGGCTGCTGCCCAGCAAGGCTTTTGATTGGCCATGTCGGTTTTTAAAAAACGTTGCTTTGGTAGCAGCTGCCACCACAGCACAAGGACTGTGTGACTGAAGATCAGGCGCAGCGGTCATTTTGTGGCCGGCCCTGCCTGCCTTGGCAACCGTTTGTGGTGGCCATATTGTGGCTGTGCCCACCACACTCTCAGAATTCAAAAGGTGGGCCCCCAAAAGGCTGGGGACCGTTGCTCTCATCATGTGTGGTGAAGTGTAAGATGGCCCTTGAGATAGAGCCTTTTTTTGTGAACTTCCCAGGGAGCCGACAATCTGCTTCAGCTGGTAGAGGAACGACAAAAGGAGGGGGGGGGGGAGAGGAAAAGGATAGTGTAGATGTGGATGTGAGCAAACGTATCTGAGCTCGATTACAAATTGAAACAAGGATTAAGTGGTAAAATCAAAGGCTTTGTGGGAATGTGGGGTTGGAGAGAGGGCTTGAAGCAGAGGGGAAGACACCCTGTGAATGTTCTCAGAGGGAGTTCCAGTCCAAATATGGCAGCAAGAGAAGGCTGGGCAGAGTCCCTGAAGAGATCCTCGGGGAGCACCCATGAATAAACGTGGAATGTGTCTGTCTTCAAAACTTTAAGGGCAGGTAGTGGGTGCCAAGGCTCCCTCCAAGCTGTGGAGTCTTCTGAGCAAAAATTCTACTTGGTGAGCTCCTGGCATTCAAGTTGTGAGCAAGCAATTTGGCTACTGCATAAATTTGTTTGCTCTGGAGCCATCCTCCCTGAGCGAAGACAAAAGTGTGTGAGCCGGAGGCAGAGGACCTGTGGGGGTCTGTATCTTAGGGTAGGACTTGGAGAGTCTTCCCAGCCATTTGAGAAGATCGGACTGCTGAGCCACGCTTTCGCTGTTGAAGGGCACCTACGGGGAGTTCAGCCCTGTGCCCTGGAGCAGGAAGCCAGAGAGGCATCTGTCCAGCTCTGTTTACTGCCCATAAGTGAGATCGTTTCAAGTCTCCTGTGGGGTGCCAGCTATTGGGCAGCTAATTTGGTCGTGTTTCTGTGATGGGGATGACTGAATGATTCGGCCACCACCTGATCCAGACGTGCAGCAGAAACACCTTGAGTTCACCTGCTCTGTCTCTGGTAGGAGCAGGTCCGGTCTAGGTGGGCTTCCCTTCAGCATCTTCAGCTGTGCCTCCAGTTTTATTTATTGATTGATTTGATTTTTTACCCCGCCCTCCCCACCTAGGCAGGCTCAGGGCGGCTTACATAAGAAAACAACAATTAGGCCCCCAGCGGTCAGGAGCCTTGGGCAGCCCAGCCTCTGAATACTTTGACATTACGACCTTTTCTGTCTCACGTGCAGATCAACAAGAGTGTTACCAAAGTGGATCTCCTGTCGTTTGCCAACGACTTGGAAGCAAGTGCAGACCAGCTGGTGAGTTCTGACGAACTGAAAGGGAGGGGAGGCGCTCTGTGTGATGCAACAGGAGTTTTGTATAGCAGGGGAACAGTCCGATGAAGCACTTTCCGTGGTTGACACACTGTTGTAAACTGAGGGAAAGTGGTGTTCTCATATTCACACTCACCTGAAGCATTCTGGCTTCTTCCTTGAAAGGGGGAGGGTCTGTAATAAGATATTATGGGTTGGATCCAGTGAAAAAGTCCGTGAGGGGGTCAGCAGAGCAGGTTTTTCTCTCCCCAGCCTAAAAGCCTTCTGTTCCTCCCAGTGAGGACACAAAAATCTCTGCCTCCTCCTCCTTCCAGTGGAGATAGCTGGAGGAAGGGGGTACACAGGGACAAGATCTGTTCTGCCAGTTCTTCTGTGAGCTCTTCCACTGGATCCCACCCAGATCCCATAGCCCCTTAATCTAGTGAAGTCAGGAGCCTATAAAATTCTAGAAGAAGAAGAAGAAGAAGAAGAGGTTAGATTTATATCCCACCCTTCACTACCCAGAGGAGTCTCAGAGCGGCTCACAGTCTCCTTTCCCTTCCCCTCCCCACCACAGACACCCTGTGAGGTAGGTGGGGTTGAGAGAGCTCTTTTGAGAGAACTTCTGACTGACCCAAGGTCACGCCAACAGCTGCATGAGGAGGAGGGGTGGGGAATCAAACCCAGTTCTCCCAGATTAGAGTCCGCGCTACTAACCTAAGTGAACTCTGTGGTAATTTATACGTATTATTTCTATCATTGTAACAGCTGCCAACAACCATAAATGGCCTCACAGCTAAAGACAAAATATTCAGTTGAAGCATAGGCCATAAAGCTGTATAATCACAATTACTAAAATGGACAGCACAGAGAATGATCAAATGAATACGGACACAGCAGACCTCTATCCTTGGAATGCCACACAGAATAAGTTCCTGTGCTGATAGCCTTCAACAGGGATGCTTCCTGGCGAGGTTTTATTCTAGTGCTAAGTGTTAAGTCAATGCAGTTAATAGGATGAGATATATAATAAGCAAGATAATAGGACTTGGATGACACATGGAATTCATTGCCACAGGAGGGGGTGGTGGCTACAAGCATGGACGGCTTCAAGAGGAATTAGATAAGCATATGGACCAGAAGTCCATCAGTGGCTATTAGCCACAAGGTATAGATAGGAACTCTCAGGCTGGGGCAAGCGATGCTCTGTATTCTTGGTGCGGGGTGTGTGTGTGTGCAACAGTGGGAGGGCTTCTAGTGTCCTGGCCCCACTGGTGGACCTCCTGATGGCACCTGGTGTTTTTGGCCACTGTGTGACACAGAGTGTTGGACTGGATGGGCCACTGGCCTGATCCAACATTGGCTTCTCTTATGTTCTTATGTTCATATAGTTTGACATGAGGTACAATAAACAGTACAGAGAATGATTTTGCATAAATGTCAAAACAAAGCAGTGCTGGCAGGATAAGAAATACAGCAGACAGGTAATACAGACTATGTAGAAAACAGGGACGGGGAGGAAATAACAGTAGCTCACAGGATAAACTCCCCAGAGACAAAAAAAATTTCCACGGGCCAGATAACGCAGGGGGGAGACATGGCTGTTCGCCCCGGAGCAAAATAAAGCGGGTAGCCCGATCACACAGTCTCCCGAGTCTCCACACTTAGCTGGCAATCACATAGCTATGCTGGAGCGTGGCAAAGAAGCGGTGCTGCAAGCGTTTCACGTTTGTGCGCATGCGCAGTTTCACGGAGCAGCACTGCTTTGTTTGTGCGCATGCGCTTACGAAAAACATCCGGTTTGCGACGGGACATGGACGGGTGCCGAATGCCACGGGATACTAGCACTCCCGCGATCAGACACTCGCCCCTGCCCCGCATTTTCCGGATACTAGTGCACTTTCCACGATACCTTTTTACTGCGCATCTTCAACAGGACGCCACGGGTTGGCCACGGGTGCGCTACGCTTCCCAGATGTTGCAGTGTGATCGTGCCCTGAAAATCCACCTGACATTCGTGCCTTTAGCGTGGCAAATCCTCCATGTGACCGGGGCCCAAGTCAAGCAATATAAGAGAATAACAATACAATAGAAAGGTAATCTCCCCTATAAATAAAAGCTGAATGGTGGTGGCACTTCTCTAGAACATTCCACACGCTCCAAAATCAGTTCGCTCTCTGATCTGTCATTCAGAGGGTCTCCCTATCCACTGGCTGCTTTGCCTGAGTCCTGCCTCCAACATTCTAAACATTTTGCTGTTCCTCTCCCCCCCATAGCCAGTCAGAACACAGAGGTTATTTGCATATGCAGCCTCATTGGCCTTTGCCTCGGAACACAGAGGTCGTTTGCACATGCGACTTGATTGGCTTTTGCCTCTAACATTCTAAACAGTTTGCTCTTCTGAGGTAAAATGTGTCCAATCTCCAGGTGAGGGCTGGAGATCACTCAGATTTACAACTGCTTTCCAGATGGCAGCGATCAGTTCCCCTGGAGAAAATGGTGGGCTCTGTATCCTTATATGCTGCTGAGGTGGCCCCATATGACAGCCAATGTGACATAGCAGTCGGGGCTTCAGAGCACGGGAGAGGCTGCAGGTGTGTGGGGGGTGGAATGCTGAAGAGTGAGGGGGAAATAAAGGTAGATTGATGGTTGGCTGGGAAGAAGATAGGGTTGCCAACTCCAGGTGGGAAATTCCTGGAGAGGTGAGGGATGGAGCCTGGAGAGGGCGAGGTTTCAGGAGGCGTGGGACCTTGGACAGGTACAAAGCCATAGACTCCACCCTCCAAACCAACTATACCCTTCTGGGGAACCATCGTTGCCAATCTCCAGGTGAGGACTGGAGATCACTCAAAATTACAACTGTTATTTAGGTAGCAGAGATCAGTTCCTCTGGAGAAAATGGTGGACTCAGTGTCATTATACTCTGCTGAGGTCGCCACAGCAAATTGACACTGAGTGTCTAAGGCCGGGGCACCCGCCCAGAGCCTCTTTCTAGAGGCAGTTGTATTTATTTCCACAACGGGCCTTTTTCCTAGTATATTATAAATCAGAACATGTTGAGAGGTAGTGACTTGTCACCTTATTGTACCTCCTTTGGAGTATTTATGGGCATTTCGTAAGTGTCTTCTGTTTGCTAAGACTATTTATGTAGGTTTAATATTTATGCGAGACTGGAATTGGTTTACTTCTGATGATGTTGCCTAACTCTGATTTTGTAATATTGCGCATACCTCTTTACATGTTGTGATTTGTGACCTGTTACCTTTCTGTTATATCGCTATTCTCTTGTATAGCTTGACTTGGATTTTTTTGGCCTCTAGGGAGTGTATCCTGTTAGGTAATACAGACAAAACAGAGGCATGGCTCACAGTCCTGTGTCCATATCTGCAGCACGGACCTCTGCAGAAGAGATGCCGTGAGCCAAGTGCCAGGCGGGGCTGGCGTCAGCATAACCTAAAGTGGGGCAGCTGCCAGGGCCCAGGTGTTCCGGTGGGGCCCACTGCCCTTGACCCCTACCCACGCACCTCCCCTGCCACCGGTCTGTACCCATGTTCCCAACTGCCACGGGACCCTGAGGAAAGACATGTGGTTGGAATACACTGGTGGCACTCCGGTTGCGTGCACTGGGCAGCGCTATCAGGGAAAGGGCATGCAGGCGGTGCAGACAACTGAGCTTGGGTGGTGGGAGGGCTTGCAAGTGGGAGAAGGATGCACAGGCAGGTGGAGGGCAGGCAGGTGGAGGGGTGGAAAGAAAGGAATGAGGGGGCCCTGGTGGTGGGCAGATGGGGGACCCCGAGTACCGTCTACCTGCCCCCCCTCCAAACCTGGAACCAGCCCTGCTGCCGGGGATGTTCATTAAGGGGAAGTCATTCTTCCAGGGACTGAGGACACTGGGTCTTTGGGGCAGCCCTTGGGCCAGGAACAAGGGAGAGAAGAGGCAGGACCTCTTTGATGGTAATGCTCATACCAACTTCCTGAGTTTTTTTAGGGGGGGGGGGGAACCACTGGCTTTGAACAGACTTTCTAGAGAGGGACGACAATTTCGTGTGTGGTTCCTGATCACTGTGTTTGTGTGTGTGTGTGTGTCCCACCACCGAGGAACTGGTTTCATTTCAAGTTTGTTCGGACAAATGATCAACCCTTGTAAGCCGACGACTTCACACCGCTTATGCACAACTGCTTTGGCCTTCCTTCTCTTCGTGTGTGCAGCTTTCCCAGGGTCTCAGCAGAGGGCGCCATTGCATCACCCTAAGCAGTGGCAGAAGAATCATAGAACAGAGGCTGAACCTGCATTTGTCTTTCCCACCGGTGTCCCAGCCTTTTGACTCCGTCTTCAAAAAAGCTGTCTACATTTGGTGTCGTTTTCACACCTCAAGAGGGCTAGCATACGTTTGCACATCCACATATGTTTATCGTCCTTTCGGGGCGGCTCCACTGTCATTGCACCTCCGCACTGCTTTAAAAGAATCTTCTCCAAACAACATTCAAACAAGCATAGAGAAAGACGGTGTCACAGCAGCATGAAACTAATTTAAAAATGCAAATGCAGATTCGACCAAAGTCTGAGTCCAGTGGCACCTTTAAGACCAACAAAGTTTTATTCTGGGTACAAGCCTTCGTGTGCATGCATGCATGCATGCACACGAAGGCTTGTACCCAGAATAAAACTTTGTTGGTCTTAAAGTTGCCACTGGAATCAAACCTTGCTGTGCTGCTTCAGACCAGCACGGCAGCCTGCCTAAAAGAATCGTAGTTAGCTCGAATCAGAAGTTTGTCCCAGCGTCAGAATAGTCAGCACATGAGAAATACTTCTGAATAGAAATCTACCGATAGCCAAGGTGATTCATCATTTTTTCCCTGTCTTTCATGGACTACCACTCCATAGTTGGAAAAGGAGAATGTCAGTTATAATTCTTTATATTTGCAGCCCAAAGGAGCATTAGAAAACGCCTTGAAAGGGCACGCAAACAGGATCCGGATGATACATAACCAACAGGTTATTCCACTGGAGCAAGCAATGGTAAGAAATTTATATTTGTTGTGATGGCATAGGGTCAGAAAAGGGAGTTCCACAAGCTAGAAAAGAAGAAGAAGATTAGATTTATACCCCACCCTTCACTCGGAGTCTCAGAGCCACATACAAACTCCTTTCCCTCCCCCTCCCCACAACAGACACCTTGTGAGGCAGGTGGGGCTGAGAGAGCTCTTCCCAGAACTGTCCTTGAGAGAACAGCTCTGAGAGAACTATGGCTTGCCCGAGATCGTCCAGCAGCTGCAAGTGGAGGAGTGGGAAATCAAACCTGGTTCTCCCAGGTTAGAGTCTGTGCACTTGATCACTACACCAAACTGGGGTATCAGCCAACACTTCGTCTCAGGATATATAGATTCCAGGAGTGATCCAACTCACACAATGGTGGTCTGGAACAGGGGTCCGCAAACTTTTTGAGCCTGCGGAGACCTTTGGAATTCTGTCACGGTGTGGAGGGTGGGACCGGAAGCCAAAACAGCTGCCCCCAGAGGCAGAGCCAGACGTAAAATGGCTGCCAGAAGTTATCTTCAGCCACACAGCGAAGATTCTTGTGCTGCGGTGGCAGCTGCTGCCAAAGCAGTGTTTTTAAAGATCTGCACCGCCCATCAGATCTTCAGTGGCCAATCAGAAGCCTTGCTGGGCAGAAGTCCCACCTGGCCCTGCCCACTTTCTAAGAACACTTGGTGGATGCCGGGAAAGATCTTAGCAGGCGCCATGATGCCCGCGGGTACCTCGCTGGGGACTCCTGGTCTAGAACGTGGGAGGGTTTGTGTGTGTGTGGACAAAATATTATGCAGGCTGAGCTCGCTTGTGACGGTATGTGATAGCAGAGCTCTGTAGTCTGCAGGCACTCCTCCAAGCATCTCTGAGTGGTATACATGGTTGTCTCTGCCCCACTTGCATTTCACTACAGCCCTGCGAGGTAGGTTAGGCTGAGAGAGGGAGTGGCCTGACATCACCCAGTAAAGCTTTCCTGGTGAACACGATGCCCTGCTGACTCCCAAGTATCTCTTGGGAAAGGAATCCGTCCCGCTCAGGTCTTAGTGCTACATCAGAGAGGCACGCCCGTGCACAGAGACAGTGGGAACTGAAATGTATTTATTTAATTGTTTACACTGTTTATAGTCCACTTTTCTCACGGGGGCTTGTTAGAAGTGGAGGACTTTGTGACGGCTCCTGTCTCAGACTGGAGAGATGGCACCAAGAGAGGTCAGGACACACAGAGCATCCTTTCCGTCCTGCTATCCGATCCTTTCCTTTGACGTGGGGTGCGAGTCTTAAGGGCAATTTCCTCTCCTACTGCTCTCTCACTCTCTTCTCTCTCTCACGCACCCAAAGAAGGTGCTTGACCTCTCCTTCTTGCACCATGGAGGCTGGACCTGCATCCAGCATCAAACACCATCTAGCTAGTTAGAGTAGGTAATCTATCCCTATCTCTTACCTGCACTCTCCAGCATGTATTGCCTTTAATAAAGTTGCTTATTAGCTTTAGAACTGACTGCTGAGTCCGTGTACCTTTGTATGTCTGTGGCCACAACTAGCCCCAAGCTCTGCTTTAGCCTTGAGTATTCTGCTACTTTCTGTGGTTCCCTGGCAGTACGAAGTCCCAAGAATCCAACAGGACTCAAGGTAGATTACGCAGAATGAGTCAATACAATCGACAGATGGGACACTCCGTAGACAATGCAATAGGATTCAGGCTGTAGAGCCAATCAGAAATCTGGAAACAGGACTGAAGCAAAGCCTATGCCTTAACATGACACATTACATGATGCAAAATTCCATTATCAGGATCCTGGTTTCAACAAGCTATACTCAGGGATGTAGTAGACCACAGTCCCTAGTCAATTTTCTAAGTAACTTTGTGGATCATTTAGTACACTGCAAGTCTATAGCTCAGGGGTGTCGAACTCATTTGTTATGAGGGCCGGATCTGACATAAATGAGACTTTGTTGGGCCGGGCCATGTGTCATAAAATGTATGCCAGGTAGCGGAGTTATAAACTTTTTATAAAGGACACAAACACAAAGGGTTTTTTTTAAACTTAAAATAAAAACATGCTTAAAACATTAGCTCTCTTGCAATATTTTGTTTATTTCACAGTGTCTGATAACTGACACCTCTTGCTCTGAATTATTGCATCAAAATGTCTGTGCTGTTGCAACCTTGAGCATGCTGTTCAAGTGTGTATTTGTAAGCTGCAAACCTACGATGACACAGCAACAGCAGAACTGGAAGAAGAAGCAGAAGACAGCCAGTTCCACTGCAGGGCCTGATAGAAGGTCTCCGGGGGCCTAATCCGGCCCCCGGGCCGCATGTTTGACACCCCTGCTATAGCCTGTGTAGAAGAGCCCTCTTCAATAATCCAGTTTTGCAATGAATGACAAGACATCAGTGTCTTAGCTGACGTCTCAGCAGAAATTGCCAGAGATTGCCAGACATCACACTCCCTTCTCCTTTTCCTGTCCAAATTATAGGATCATTTCCCAAGATGGTAAAAGGAACAGCAAGAGAGACTTTGAGGACTTTTTTTTTTATTTTAGCTTTCCGTCTACTGAGAGCGCTGGCCCAAAGCAAGATGTCAAATAACTTGCAGCCAGCCTGGTTACGAAGACTCTCCTTTAAACAGCAGTTCAGATAACAGCTTTTTCAGACGTAGTTGAAGAATTTTTTGCTTGGATTATTCCTCCCTCACCCATGACGCTGCTGTCAGTGTGAAGAGGCATCTTGTTGAATGGGTGTGGGTGGGGTGGGGGGACCAGCACTTGCATGTCCTGTCTTGCCACACAGCTAGTTTTGATAGCCCCCCCTTTCCGTTTTGCTTCGCACTAGTTACTGTGCGTATTCCAGTTCTAAACAGCCTCCTTTCTGAAAAGCAAAGCCACTTTGTACCTTTCGTTTGGTTGCTTGTCTGCTTCTTCCTTCTCCCCTTCTCCTAATTAACTCTTAATCATTCTCCATCTTCTTTTTTCCAAAAACTGACCGTCAAGAAATATGTTAGAGCTAGGGTAAGTGCTTTCCCTCTCTTTCGCCACAAGCAAGTACCTGAGTTATGCTCCTGTTTAGTTGACTCTCTGAAGGCCAAATTTAATCTCTTTATCAGTCGTATTAGAATGTATGTAGTGTCCTCTCTGTATATGGCAATTCCCAGAGTAATATCAGCCAAAAAGACTTGGAGGAGTTTACAATCTAAATTTGAGGTTAACCTATAGAAGGGAGAGTCCGAAGTCGCAGGATGAATTTGTACCAGTGCATACTTGGGCTTTGATTAAACTGGGGAAAATCTTCTTGGGGTGATTGCAAAAATTTGTATTAGAAACATGCAGAGGGTTAGTTCTGGTCATGGCTTGAAGATCATTGGCAATGTTTTACATCTGCTAACCTTCTCTCATTGGAAAGCTGGTTATGGTGGAGCCACATGTTATGGGAAGCTGCCCCCCCAAAACAGCAGCCACCACCCCCCCAAAAAAAACAGCAGCCCTGTTATCAAGGTCTCCCATTCCCAGTCTAAAATGTATACTGTATATGTGCCCTGACTTCGTTGTGTTATGTTTAGAGATGGGCACAAACCGGGAAAATGCCAAACCAGTTTGTGGCCCTGCAAACCCAGCTGAAAAGGATTGCAGTCCCTTTAAACAAGGTTTGCAGAAAGCCTGAAAAACATTGAGCTGCGCAACACATACCTTTTCCAACTGTCTTGTGCAGTTTAAAGGGACTGCAGAAGACAGCCCAAAACAGTTGTTTTTGCAGCTTTTGTAGGGAACAGAATACAGGAGTTTAAAGGGATTCAGAGTCCCTTTAAACCCCTTTAAACCCCCGCTTTCAACTCCATCCATGAACCACATGAACCACTCTAAAATTTTAGTTCATGGAAGTTTGTGAAGGTGAACCCATCACGAACTTCTGTTCCCGAAGCACGAACAGGGCAAAAATTGTTATGAATTTTGCTTTGTGGTTCAGTTCATGACCATCCCTAGTTATGTTTCCTTGACCTAAAGACCTATGATATATCTACCATGACATGATGTTGGGCAGTCCCATCTCTCTCATAACCTGCAGTTCCGCTAATAAATGGGAGTGCTTTGGCTTGAGGCAAGTTTCATCCAACCAGCTTGAGTGATCCTGGGGTTCATCACAGCCACCTTGAAGGGAAACCACATATAATCCAGTGCACATCTGATTTGTTCTAATGGACGTGTTTGGTGTTCAAGCCATTCCCTACCCTCCCAACATTGCAAAGGGGGTGGGTGGGCTTTGGGACCTCCTAGAACTGTATGGTCTATACAGTACAATGGATTAGAGGGACAAAGCGTACTTCCTGTTTTAGGCACTTATGTTTTTCTCTAGCTGGAACTCAGTGTAGTATTAAAATTCCGAAGAGCCAAGTGGACTCAGTACATTTATACACCAGCTGTAATATAGTTATAGACTGTAGCTACAGTTCTGATGGGATCCCAACAACCTGTTCCACTAATGGTATCACCTTCCTCTGACTCAAGAAGCAAGTTGGAGAAGGGGTCTTTGCCCAAGGAAAGGGCCACCACTAGTGGGGAGAGATCTGTGGGATCGAACCCATTGAAATAGACTGCATTGCTAGACTCTCTTGCTCTTGATCAATTTATGGATGAAGCTATAGCTCCAGAGGACTGTGTGATATAATTTTTCTTTCTCTCTTTTTTAAAATTCAGAGCGCTTTAAACCAGAACATTAGGTTACTGCAAAGGACATCATCTGAACTTTCAGTAAGTTTTTGTTGAGTTTTTTTCTTAGTTTAAAACCCCCTTCTGATGGTGTGATACTTAATGTAAGACTTATTTGCATATGCCACACACCCTGACATCACCGGAAGTGTGTCAGAGGGCAGCACCCACCACTCAAGCTCCACTGGACTGTTTTGAATTGCTAGCTATTGGGGGGGGGGGGAATGGGCGCATCGGTCCTCCCAGTGCAGATCTGTCCTCGCAGAGGAGGGAGAGCTTGTACCTGAATAAAACTTGATCTTAAAGGTGCCACTGGACTGTTTTGGATTGCTAGCTATGGGGGGGGGGATGCACAAATCTGCCCTCACAGAGGAGGGAGAGCTTGTACCTGAAGGGGGGGGCAACTTACCTGGCTGCTTCTTGCTCATTGTGGCCTGACTGAGGGCTGCTGGGAGCAGGGGGCAGGGCTTGTTGCATGGGCCCGCCCCCTGGGCTCCTTACTGCCACAGCTCTGCTCCTGTGCACTCCCGCAGGAAATGACCCCTGTTGCTTACACTCACTGCCGCCTCCTCCTCCCCTCAGCCTTTGCCCCCTCTTCTTTCCCTTCCCCTTTCTTTTAAGTGTAAAGGGGCATTTCCAAACAGTTATTACATTCTTCAGTGTTGCATTAATGAGTACTCACGGTAGATGTCTTTATCGATCTTGAGGATAAAGTTCATTCTCTTTAAATTCGGCCGATCACGTCTTTTCGCTCGATGGCTGCCAAAGAGCGATCTCTCTCGGATCCTTGCTTTGGGACGGTAGGAGGTCTTTTCGCGCACCACCATGTGCGCAAGTTCCTAAAACAAGTCCCTTGCGATGAGCCCCCCTTTGAGAAGGCTCATTGGGACCCAGGCATCCTGGATCCACAACTTAAGACCCGGAGATTCAGCGACTCCCTGGGAGCTCCCCGGGAGATGTCTGATGGCGACCCTCCACAGACCGGTTCCCAGCCTTTGCATTTCTTTTCTGCACCAACTCTGCACCCCTCCTTGCAAGGAGAGGGTTGCAAAGAGAAGTTCTTTATTGTAAAGGATGCAAAAAAAAATGTACCACGTTTGACTGAAACACACCTGAACAGGCAAGAAAGAGAGTAAAAGAGGAGATCATTTCAGGGGGTGGTTGTGTTGGTCTGCAGTAAAACATATTTGAGTCCAGCAGCAGCTTAGAGACCAACAAGAGCTCCAGGGTGGAAGCTTTCGAGAGTCAGAGCCAGTGCTCCCTCTATGCTGTGGAGTCTTGTGAGCAAAGATTCTACTTGGTGAGCTCCTGGCATTAAAGTTGTGAGCGAGCGATTTGGCTGCTGCATAAATGAGTTTGCTCTGGAGCCATCCTCCCTGAGCTAAGACAAAAATGTGTGAGCCAGAGGCTAAAAAACTGTGAACTAGCTCACACTAACTCAGCTTAGAGGGAACGCAGGTCAGAGCTCCCTTCATTAGACGCAAGTAGGAATGGAGATCTCCGAGGCTTTTTATCACAGTCAGAAGGCAGAAGGGGTGTTTTAAAGAATGCTTGTAAAGGATGCAGAGGTACAATGTATGTTGTAACAAGCTTGATTAGAGCAGAGAGGAAATGCTGGGGGGGGGGGGGGGAGGAAATAACAATCTGTAGTGAGGTTAGAATCCGATGTACCTATTCAGCCCTGGGAGAGGCATATAGAACAGATTGTGAACTTCCCTCAGGCATGTATGTCTACCTCTTTCTGGTAAAAGAAAGAGGCAGACATGGCCTGGCAGACATGTCATCATGACACAGGTAGCTGCAAACATGTCTTGATTGCTTTCAGATCTGATTTTTGACCAAAAACACTGGTGATTTAAAACACCCAAGAATGTTATATGCAAAAACCTCACAGCTTTCATTAGCATGTGTTGCATCCCTAGGGGCAGGAGAGGAGGTAGGGGGAGAACAGATGCACACAGAAACCCAGCTAGACTACTGTAACTGGATCTATGTAGGGATACCCTTGAGACTGACCCAGAAATTGCAACTGGTCGAGAATGCAGTTATGCGTGTTCTCACGGGAACGTCTTTCAGAGCTCACATTCATCCGGTGCTCGGCCAGCTGCACTGGCTCCAGATTGAGTACCAGATCAGGTTCAAGGTCTTGGTCTTGGTGCTAACCTTTAAAGCCCGAACCGGTCTGGGACCAGCATACCTTTGGGACCGCCTCTCCTGGCATACCTCCCAAAGAGCACTACGCTCAGGTGATAAAAACCTTCTTGGGACACCCTGGCCCCAAGAGTGCCCGGCTGCCCTCAACCAAAGCCCATGGCCTTTTCAGCCCTGGCCCTGACCTGGTGGAACACTGTTCCGGGTGAGATCTGGGCCCTCTTGGGTCTAAAGCAGTTCCACGGGGCCTGGTTGAGGGCAGCAATGGTTTTCCATCTTGACTGGCCTCCTCCCTTCTCCTTCTCTCCCCTTTTTCCTTCATACCAGACAGTTTTTACGTCCCCTGAGATATTACGCTATCTATTAGGGGTGTTGCTGATTGTATTTTAGCATTTTCCTGTATTTATTGTATTAGAACTGTGAATGTTTTAGATTGTATATTGCGTTTTTATCAAGATGTTACCTGCTCTGAGCCCGTTAGTGGGGGAGAGTGGGCTAGAAGTCTAAATAAATAAATTAAATAGCTGGGCTAAACACAGACTGCAGCTTTGCTGATTACAACCGCAGAAGCATTAGCGTGGCCTAGGGCACGGATCCAGGAATCAGGTGACCAGTCTGTCGATTGATGGAACCCTTCCCCAGCCCACTTGGAGCTAGAGATGTAAAATTTCCGGAATTTTTGAAGCTTGGAAAAAAGACCGTTTTTTTCCGGGGGAAACTGAAATTTTCGGAAAAAAAGAAAAAAATCTACATTAGAACTTCTTTTTTCTTTTCCAGACTGAACGTCATTCTGTTACTTTAGGAACATAAAATATAACTATGGACATTTTTACTTGGCATGAAATTATCACAACTAGCATATTAAAAATATAGTGTATGCAAACAATGATTACAAACAGAATACCCACCCACATGCAAAAACAAAACTGAAACCTTTTTCTTTTCTCGTGACAATAGCACCTCCTAAAGGAAGAAATGCATCTTGTTCTTGCATTGGAGAGTTCAGTTTGTAACCTAGGACTTGCTTGTTCTCAATGCACAGAAATTAGATCAATCTGATACCATACATATTTTTTAGAAATAATTTGGAAAATATTTGAACACCTTGTCTTAATATATTTTATTCATCATTTTAAAATAAAATGTTCCATAATCAATTTCTTTTCTTTTCTTTTTTCAATTTTTCCAATTTTTCGGGAAAAAACCAAAAAGGCTTCAGGAAAAAACGGGGGGGGGGGGGGGGGGGGAATGGTTTTTTTCTGAATTCTTCCATTTTTTCCCCTGGGCCTTCACATCTCTACTTGGAGCTGAACCTGGAATGGCATGTCCTCTGAGCCCACGTGGGTGCAAGCCTCCGTGTGGTTTCCTTGCCACCCGTGAGTGGAGCTGGGTGACAGCATGACACTGTGGGGCTCCACCCCAGGACCCCCTTCAGGAGGGTTCCACCCAGGGGAGGCAGGCACAGCCTTCTCCCAAATGGATCTGGACTGATGCCTAAAACCACCCTAAACAAGGTCAACAACCGTGCTACGAAACATGCAACCGAGGGAGGGAGGGAGGGAAGGATGGCCTGAGCCAGTTGAGGGAGGGCCGGTAGCAACATGGCTTAATAAGGGGGAGGAGCTGACCAGAGGGAAGACTGTGCCTCTCAGGTCCTCTCCCGGTCTGACCCCAGGCTGCCAGCGATTGGCTGCTGGCTAGGAAGACTGCTGGGCCCCTCCCAGGAGGTGCCACGTTGCCGCCACGAGATTCAGAGCCCAGCTGGAGAGTGGAACCTCCTTTCCCGACCTTCTAGTACTGTGGCCTCAAAATGGCCGCAGGTAAGTCCAGGGATGTCTTTCCTCACATGTGCCCACAGCAGTTCCACAGATCCAACCATCAGCGGAAAGTGTGGATTTTCCTGTTCTCCCCAGCAGTCCTTTGTGAGCACTGGACTGATGTATCCTGGAATGGTGGGTGGACAGAAAGGCTGCCTGGGGCTTGGGGGAGGGGTTGCAGTGAGGGTCGGGGGACCGAGTCAGAATGACCCCTTCCTCCCTCTTCCGCAAGCACTGCCCTGCTGATAGTAATGGGAAGAGTGGCTGTTCTGCCCTTCCCCCTCTTTGCGGCAGCCCCTCCACCTGTATAGCTTTTTATCTACATGGGTCCTGCCACTCCAGGATTCGTTGGAAAAGGCGGTGAGGAACGTTCCCTGTGCTTCCACTGACTGTTCTTTGTGTCAGAGCCAGCATATCATGATGAAACTAGCTGCCGCAGTGGCCTGAGTCACAGATAACTAAAATGGATCAGACGATGAATAAAATCCAGCATGCAGTTGTGAGTGAGCTCTAAGCACCGTTAACAAGGTCAGGGCAATGACCCCCCCCCCCCCCGGACTGAATAGGGACATGGGGTTCTTATCTTATTACAGATGCTGATTTTCTGCATTTCCCATTTCTGTTGCGTATCTCCTAGCTCTGTTCAAACTGGTTACATCCTGCATTGTATCTGGGCTCCAGGTCGACCTAGTTGGTAGCATCCCTCCCAGCTTCTGACCAGATATAAGGGCTGATGGGTCTCCATTCTCATGAGCTATGATTTATGAAACAAGCTTTGATTCATGAAAGCCGGTGCCCTGGGGAATTCTGCTGATCTTTAAAGTGCTGCTGGACTCCGATTTTGTTCTCTAATCACTAGTTTCACCCAGACGTTAATTGTGGCCCTTTCCACACTAGACCTTTCATCCTGGCTCAGCGCTGTCTCTTACTAGCTATTCTGCAGTACACTCAAGCTCACCCCTCTTTTTATCCCAGGTCTTTTGTTAATTCTGCATCACATTGTGGTCACCCCGGGTTCGGACCGCTGTTGCCCCGGGGTACATGGGTCCTGTTTTGCTGCAGGCTCCCCCTTGGTCTGGAGTGGCCCCCGGTGCAGTGTAGGATTTTTTTATAACTTTATTTTTTAATTTTTGCAAATAACATTAACATATTTATCAGGTAAGGCACAAACAGTATCATTCTTATTTGTAATATATTGAAAGAATCTAAACCTCTTTTTCACAAAACAATCCTTCTTATTTGAGGTTTCTGACAATAACAGTTGCGTAGCTAATTTATCCATTTCTACTATATCCCACACTTTTGAAAACCATTGGTTTATTGAAGGAACTCTGTTTGTTTTCCACTGCTGTGCTAATAGTGTTTTAGCCGCAATCAACAATAAGGAAATAAATTCTCTCAAGGTTGGTGAAAAATTAACATTTTCCAATAAATTCGGTAGAACAGCTTCTGGGGTTTTGGGAAGGCGAGCCTCCAATATTTCCTCAATTTTGGATATTATGGACGACCAGTATTCTTGCACTTTTGGGCATGTCCACCAACAGTGAAAGAAAGATCCGATTTGATCACAACCCTTCCAGCACTTCGAGTCCCTCCTAGATCCTGAGTGTTTCGATCCTCCCCACCCCTTTCCTGCCATACCTAGGACATTAAACCCGGGTTTATTCTTCACAGTGCAGAATTTGGAACCCAGGGCAGGCAAGCAAATTGGAGTAGGACAAAATTAGTGCAGAAAACAACAGGTAAATAGCATTAACAGCAAGGTAAACAGCTGCAAGTCGAATACAGAGAAAACCCAGGGTGAAGTCCAAGCATGGAAAGGGTCTGTGTCTATTTTGTCTGGAGAAATGTCTTTTACAAACCAATCAAAAAGGTTACTTTAACCCTGTCCCTATAAATAACCAAAGAATCAGTGTGTGTTAATGGCATCTTTGACCGTCTCTTGTTCTCTGCCCCCTTCATTCATTCTTTTCCAGGGAAAAGTGAGAAATGTGATTAGCGCTGTTGAGCACGCTCAGTTTCTCATAAGCAATAATGCTTCATCGGTTATTGTCGAGGTAAGCTCTGTTATTGTTTAAAAGCCTCCATGCACTTACAGACGAGTAAACAAAGCGTACTGGAGAGTGCATCATAAAACTTCATTTTTTTCCCCTCTCTCTCTCTCTCTCTCTCTCTCTCTCTCTCTCTGCAAAGGAAACTAAAAGGTACATGGATACTATAATAGGTTACTTCAAGCAGTATGCTGCATGGGTCAAGGAATCGGTAAGGTGTTCTTCTCTCCTCTGGGCTGTAGCAATGTAGAGAAAACAGATCTAAACAAAAAGTGAACATAGCATTGTGGTCTCAGTGTGTGGGGTATCTCACTGAATAACAGGGGGGGGGGAAGTGCCAGATACTTCGCTTGTGGAGACTACATTACAACACTGGAAGACACTACAGTGTGAAGGAAGAGGGGAGCGATGAAGGGATAAGGGGTTAAGACAACAGTCCCCAGCGTGGGGGCCAGGTGGGGTCTTTGCCCCGCAAGGCTTCTGGCTTTGCAGATTTTTAGAAATGTTATTTGGCAGCCGCTGCCACCACGGTGCACGGATCTTCAGTACGGGATTGGAAGTAAGATGGGGCGGCCATTTTGTCATTGGCAGTGTCTGCTGTGGCAGCCATTTGGGGGCTGTGCCCACCATGCTGTGTTAGAAGTCCAAAGGTGCCCACAGGCTCAAAAAGGTTGTGGATTCCTGGATTAAGGGGACTGTGTAAGTGAAGTTGAGAGGATGCCATCTCCCCTCAGTGACTACTGCTGACAGGAGACAAGGGGCCCTAGCAGATGGTCTCAGGAGGCAGCGATGGTGCCGGGGCCAAGGTACAGTACTGTGCAGGCCTGTGGCCGCCAGATGGACGGCACGCTCTGGCCAGGGCACCCTCGGCTTGGCTATCCATTCAGTAGTCTTGCAGCCGCCTTGCACTGCAGCCGCTTCCAGTCCCTCCACCGTCAGCAGCACTTGGTGGCGGGAGCGACACTCAGGGGTGGATTAAGGCTCACGGGTGCCCTCAGCACTGACCCATCTTGGTGCCCCCCCTTTCCACACTGACCCCCAGTCCATTTTAGTGGTTGACATGTCTGACCAGATATACAATGCAGGTTGCAGCAATACAAAAATTTATTCATAGGATAACACAATATACTGTACAAACGAAGCTTTGCACCCTTTTCCCAACTTTGTGGTGCCCCCTTTGGCCCTGGTGCCCTAAGCACCTGCTTAGTCTGCTTCATGGTTAATCTGCCCCTGGCAACACTCCTCCCTGCCACCCACCCCGTGGAGTGACTGGTGTGACATCTGTGTGATCTTTGCCTTGGTTGAGTGAGGAGACAAGGGTTAAAACCCAAACGGCTTCATCGCAGAAGTACATTTAGAGGAGAGGGGGGTTGAAAGAAGGAACCAGGCGAGGTGGGATGGAGGTGTCCCCCCCCCCCCCCCGGCCAACAACAGAGTTTTTGCTTATTTCTGTCCTCCACAAGCAGTGCCCGAGGCTGGGAGCTCAGTGCTTCTTTTTTTCTCAGCCGTTATTTCAGTTAGAACAGACAGTAATAAACAGTTCTGGGGAAGACACACTCCAAGATTTCCTTGCCAGATATTATTCAGGTTGGGTAATACTGAAAGAGCGCAGTGAGGCAGATTACTTGAGAATTAAAAAAGCGTGTTTTTTGGGGGGGGAATGTTCAGTATCAAAATTATTCTGTTTCTGATTCCTTGTAGATTACTATGGAAGTGGCAACGTGTAAGCCTATTGCCAATGTGATCGATACAGCTGTGGAGGTATTTCTATGCAGCTATGTGACAGACTCTTTGGTAAGAATGTTTTGCGTCCTTCCTGGCTACGTGTGAAGAGGGGAGGGGAAGGGAAGAGACCAGACCTCTGTTGTTTTTGCATATCGTCTTGTAAGATGTTGAGACAAGAGGAGGGGCGGGCTAAAGGCGTGGCCCCACGGGCTTAGCTTGGATGCCACTAGAGGTGGGACAGGCCCAAGTGGGGGTGATAGTCTCCTCCTGAACCACAGGCGGCTTGGTGGGGGCTCAGCTGGAGAAGTGGCCCAGTATGTCTTCCAGTAAGCTCAAAGTCACAGGTCTGGAAAAGTAATCTTTTTTTAAAAAGGTGGAAATTATCACTCAAAGACAAACCGATGTCCAGGCATATGATTTAGAGGCAGCATGGAGCGGACTGTCCTGTGGCAGTCAGGTACCTTGCAACATGTGGTTTGACCCTTTAGCAGTTTCCCCTGGCATCTGGTGTTCAGTAGCGGTATGCTTCCTCTATAGCAGGGGTGTCAAACATGCAGCCCGGGGGTCGGATCAGGCCCCCGGAGGGCTTCTCTCAGGCCCGCAGTGGAACTGGCCGTCTTCTGCTTCTTCTTCCAGTTCTGCTGCTGCTGCGTCATCATAGGTTTGCAGCTTACAGATACACACCTGAACAGCATACTCAAGATTGCAACAGCACAGATATTTTGATGCCATAATTCAGAGCAAGAGGTGTCACTTACCAGACACTGTGAAATATACAAAATATTGCAAGAGTGCTAATGTTTTAAGCATGATTTTAAGTTAAAAAAACCCCACCCTTTGTGTTTGTGTCCTTTATAAAGTTTATATCTCCGCTACCTGGCATCACATTTTATGATACACGTGGCCCTGCCCAACAAGGTCTCATTTATGTCAGATCCGGCCCTCTTAACAAATGAGTTCGACACCCCTGCTCTAGAACTTCCTCAGCTCTACTGAACCCTCATGGCTGTTAGCCACTGATAAGACCTAGCCTCTGTAAATCTGTCTAACACTTTTGCAAAGCTGTTTATCCAGTCCCCTTAAGCAGGAGGCCTCTGCTCCTGGAGATTATTTCACCCCCGTGGGTACTCCACTGTCCATAGGAAGTGTTCCTGATACAAATTAAGCAGTTTATTGAGAGGCACTACTGCACAATACACTACAAAAACAACTTGCAAGCAGAATCAAGCGTATAATACAGGAATATATAGGAGAAACGGCAGGGGTCATTTCGTAGAAAAAGAGGTGCCGGAGCTCATTAGCATAATTCATTAGCACAACTTATTTGCCTATGCCACGCCCCTGATATCACCGGAAGTGTGTCAGAAGGCAACACCCACCACTCAGGCTCCACTGGACTGTTTTGGATTGCTAGCTATCGAGGGAGGGGGGGGACGTGCAGATCTGTCCTCGCAGAGGAGGGAGAGCTTGTACCTGAATAAAACCTGGTCTTAAAGGTGCCACTGGACTGTTTTGAACCGGGGGGCTAGGGGGCGCTCTGTAGCTTACCTGGCTGCTTCTTGCTCTGACTGAGGGCTGCTGGGAGCCTGGGGTGGGGCTTGTTGCATGTGCCCGCCCCCTGGGCTCTTTACTGCCGGAGCTCCGCTCCTGCGTGCTCCTACAGGAAATGACCCCTGGGAAAGGGTATGGATATAAAACCTTCAGAAAGATACAGTTGGCCTGTGGCCATCTGAGCTCTTCTGACCAGTCATGAATACGGTCTTCTTGTTCGTCAGAGTTGCAGGCATGTGGCTTTGTCCTTCCTGACCTGGATAGGCCAGGGTAGCCTGATCTCATCAGATTCTGGAAACTAATCCGGCTTGGCCCTGGTTAGTATTTGGATGGGACCCCACCAAGGAAGTGCAGGGTTGCTACGCGGAGGCAGGCAATGGCAAACCACCTCTGAATGTTCCTTGCCTTGAAAACCCTACAGGCCTTTCCCCCCACATTGCTTAATTAATATAAACTATCAAGGAGTGCTGAAATTGACCAGGCTGAGGGTGACAAATTTAGATCAATTAGCACTTCAGCCCGTACAAGACATGTATGCTCTACTTTTATACTAGGGATTTTGCCTCCCACGACCATTCCTTCTTACATGAGTTTTCTTACAGTCCCTAGATATAGACGTGCTTTTACGCTTGCCAGGTTGGATGCTTTCCCAACTGCAGAATTAATGGACGATTTACCAGAATCCATATTCGGACTGATTATGTGGTTGTGCATCAGGTGCAATGGAAACACTATACAGCCTTTTATTAATCTGCCACCACTGGACAGTCCCCAGGTCCCTATGGATTATTCTAGTCTTGTTGAGATATCAACTTCCCATGGAATCCTAGGTGATAACTCCATTACTGGCAGATTTCAATCCCGAAATAACCTGTTATGTGGCAAAATATCTATCAATAGTGATCTCTCTAAAACACGGTTGAACTGCACCCTGTTTTTAGTCATAAAATAGCTCCTAGATCAATCTAGATCTTAGATACTAAGGGAAATTATTTTCTCCTATTTATTTTCTGTTTTCTTCAGTTTTAAAATGTATTGGGTTTTATTCTTTTATTCTATATATCTCTCAAGGTCCCTTACCTATGTGGAATGTGATTTGCGATGATTATGTGACGATCACTCAACTTATCTCTGGACATTGTTTGACTTGTTGTTTTAACTGCTGTTACTCAATGTCTTATGTTGATGTTATGATGCTTAAGACCTTTGGTCAAATGAGCTAATAAATGAAAGGAAAGGAAAACTCTACAGTGTCGCCAGAAGTCAGCTGTGAGTTGATGACACTTTCCACCATCTGGGGACTTTTTGCTTTCTCAGCAATCAGCAGTGCATTCTGGGGACTTCCAGTGAGGAGTTTCAGGCTGGGATTCAAGGGAAAGTCCTCTGTATAGCATGATTGTGCATACTAACAGTCACTAATCTAATTGGTGGTGATCTAACTAAGCTACTCGCTCCTGGTATTTGCCCCCCCCCCCATGAAAATTTTCTGACTACGGGCCTGCCTTCAGGCCTCCTTTCGGTGTATAGGCCAGCACATGGCAATGGCTGCCTCCTCCAGACCTCAGTGAAGAGTTCTGTCTCCTTCAGTGGAATCAGCACACAAAAAAGAGCCCCTTTCTCCTTGCTTCCAGGAGTTTTATCTGCAGGGGTTTGCCTGCTCAAAGGGCCACTGACCCGTCTGCCCGGATCCGGACAGCAGGGGAAACCCTGCCCCCCAAGTGTCTGGATCAGGCCGACGTGCCCAGCGCGATGATGTCACCCTGAGGTGATATCATCGTGCTGGGCATGTCACCAGGGGATGCTCTAGCATTCGTCCTGAAAACTCTATGGTATCATAGAGTGTCCCTGGTGACATGCCTAGCATGATGACGTCACTTCCAGGTGACACCATCACGGCGCGTGCACACAAAGTCCCGGAACAGGAGCTTCTCCCCCCACTAAAAGCAGGTAAGGGGCCTGGCAACACTACGCTTCCCCCTCCCACTGACCTGGTCAGGCCAGGTCAAAGAAGCTTTGCCTGAAGTCTCCAGAAGTTTCTTCCTGAGGTCTGTCTAGTCTTAATTCCTCCAAATCTCTGTTCCCTGTTGGGGGGAGGGGCTGGCCCATCCAGTTGTGTCTGGCTAGACCTACTAGCACTTGTATGAAGGTGGGCTTCCAGAGGTAAGTCTGGAAAACAATTGAACTCACTTCTCCCTTTCCTGCCTGTTCTCTGCCCAGAGAGGGGGGAAAACCTTTAAGACTCAGAGTGTAGGTTTTGCTCATTTCAAAAACTCCAAAGAAAAAATGTGTTTCTTCACCATTGCATGGCCACTGTCTTACGTCATCTTGTTGTTTCTCGCCTAGAATTTGTTCTGGTTTGGTTTGGGAGGTTGTACGGTATTTCTGATCCCTGCCATCATTTGTGCCGTGAGACTCGCCAAATACTACCGGAGGATGGACACAGAAGATGTGTATGATGAGTAAGTAAACACTTTAGGAGAAATATGGTTGTACCTCGTTGGTATAAGGCGTACTGGAAATCTAGCAAAAGACACACCGTGTAATAGTGCAGATAAATGCTGGGAGATCTGGAATCAGTCTTGTATGTGTTTAAGTAGAATATATGATCGAGATAATGCAGTTTTGATCACAATGCCAACCCTGGAACGGTTAAGATTTTCCTTCTTCTGATCTGTATTTCCCGCCCCACCCCTCCCCGCAGAAAGGAAAGCACGGGAAGCAGACTTTGAAGAAGGAGCAGGGAAATATTACCCAGTTCTCAGGGCACACACAGCTTGCGCTGCCTGTGTTCTGCTAAAGACCTAAACTGGAAAACTCAATCACAGATGGCCCCGTTTCACATTGAGGCTGAGCCTTTTGTGAGCTTCAGTGGGACATTTTGTATGGGATTCACTATTATTGACACAGGGTCGTATTTCACTAACTGCCATGCCACCTCCCCAATCGATTGATCCCGGCCCCACAGATAACCTAAATTTCAACAGTAAGTAGGCAGATGGGGTGGCAGCGGCAAGGGTAACTAACAGAAAGGAGGAGGAAGAGAGAAGAAGGGATCAGAGTAGGCCTGGTTGAGTATATCAACATATTGGTTTTATGTCGATTTTAATCATGTAAGCTGCTTTGGGTCCATACTGGGGAGAAAGACTGGGTATAAGCAGGGGTCATTTCATAGAAGAAGAGGTGCAGGAGCGCATTTGCAGAGCTCATTTGCATATGCCGCACCCCCTGACAAAGGGCAGGCATGCAAGCATGCCTGGGTTCCCTGCCCGATCTTCTCCAGGTGCCCCGCATTTAAATCCCCCCAGATGGTGGTGGCGGGGCTCTGCAGGCCTTCCCTGGCCCATCCCCCTTGGTGGGCGGGCCAGGAAAGGCAGTGGGGGGTGGCGCCCCTGGGCTCCTTACTGCTGGAGCACCATTCCGGCACGTTCCGGCAGGAAATGACCCCTGGGTGTAAATAAATAAATAAATTCACCGAGAGCAAATAAGAATCTGTTTTCTATACAAGAGCACCTACAAGATGGGGAGGGAAGTATCTGAGCCTGTTCAAAGCCTTTCGTTCACCACTGACTTAACTGCCTCTATAAGCATCCTTGGCCCAGATCTTTCAGTGCAGTGGGCTGACTTCCCTCTTTCCACAAATATCCACCCCCAGTCGCCTCTCCTGTCACCCCCCCCGCTTCCTTTACTCAAGAAGATATATTCATGAATATTTTTTTTTTAAAAAAAAAAACTTTTAAACTGGTTAGCACCAAGCTGGACATTTAGGTTTTTAACGAGTTCCTGCACCTGAATTCCCTGAGCACAACTCAGGTTCCCAGCAGCAGCAGAGCAGACTAGAATGGCTTTTAAAAATAAAATAAAGGAAAGCTCGATTGGGTGGGAAAGTGGGAACGCTTCCTTCCCCTCCGGCGCTGTTCTGAGCCCATTTGGGCTCTGTTTTTTAAAAGCTGTTCCCCACTGCTGCTGCGTGGCTGCGGCGGAACTCAAGTTGGGTTTGGGGATGCCAGACCCAACTACTTAAAAACCCAAACATCTAGTTTGGCCCGTATTCTTTCAGTTTTTAGTGTTCCTGTTTGGCTGATGTAGTTAAAAGAACCCCAAGGATTCCTACCCTTCCCTGGCTTCTTTCCACCCCTTGGACAAACTCTAGTTGCAGTTCCAAAGTGGTTTTTTCTTCATTAAATCAGTCACACTCTCTAATTCTCTATTCCAACCATTTTTTTTAGTCGCTGGGAGAAGCCCAGAGAACTAGCCAACAGTAGAATCCCAGAGGTATTTGAGAGGAAATTTGTGGTGGCCATGGGGTGAGAGAAGGAGGGGGGAGGCTCTAAGGCAACTTCCTTCTGGGCTGAAGAATAACCGATCCCCCACTTTGGCCTCTCCTATAGATTCTTTATACTCCATTCGCCCACAGTCAAATAAAAAGGGTCACACAAGCTTTAAAATAAAGATTGGTGGCATATAAGTTCTGTGCTCCCTAAAGGTCTCTCATTTGGAAACCCACTGGGCTGCTGTACTTATATGTCAAGAAAATAAAGACCCCCCCGCTTCTTAGACTTCATACAAATGCTAATAGGTCTAGCTAGAGATTTGACAGACGAGACATAAATGGAGATGAACAAAAAAGGTTTATTTAACAGAAAATCTATTTATCTATTTCCCAAACGTGGCCCCCATCTGCAGATACCTCAGTCTATGGTTTGGGACCACATAGTCACTAAACAGATTTTTCGGCAAACTTGGGGGACTCCTCAGGTTTGCAGAAAAATCTGAAATGTTAAAAAAATACATGGGGAAGCTAAATCCCCTGAAAAGCACTTATCTCTGGCGGTGGTCATTGCAGCCTGGGAGTCACACTGGACCCCCCTGGGAGCCATGCTGGTGGCACAGCCTGGGGGCACCACTGGGCCTGGCAGAGGCTGCACAGCCTGGGGGGACCACTGGGCCTGGCAGAGGCTGCACAGCCTGGGGGCACCACTGGGCCTGGCAGAGGCTGCACAGCCTGGGGGCACCACTGGGCCCAGTGGTGGCCGTGCAACCCAGGAGTCGTGGTGGGCTTGGTAGCAACAACAACTAAGCCCCTGGGCCTGATGAGTAATTGGGGAGGGATGAAATCTCCCCTGCAAGCAGTGTTCCCTCTAAGCCGAGTTAGTGTGAGCTAGCTCACAGTATTTTAGACTCCAGCTCACAGGTTTTTGTCTCAGGTCAGGAAGGAGGGCTCCAGAGCAAACTGATTTAGGCAGCAGCCCAATCGCCCGCTCACAGCTTTAATGCCAGCAGCTCACAGGGCTCCACAGCTTAGAGGGAGCATTGCCTGCAGGTACCATAGACGCACACTTGTAAAGGATTTAATAAGGTAAATTTGATGTGTGGATAACTTAAATACATAAAGTAAAGCTGGCTCTCAAATAAAGTAAATAAGCCCCGAGGGGAGATTTGATTCACCTTTCTCTCTGGACAGGTGGTTACCTCAGCAGACTCCAGGCTGCTCTTTCCTCTCACAGAGCACACTAGGGTTGCCGGCCCCCAGGACCCAGCAGGGCTCCCCTGCTTTTGCGGGCTTTTATCAGCTGCCAGACAGCTGGCCAACAGGGGAAATCCCCCCCCAAAAAAGCAGGGACATTGTCTCGTGATAACCCTGACACATTAGTGTGAGCTAGCTCACAGTATTTTAGACTCCAGCTCACAGGTTTTTGTCTCAGGTCAGGAAGGAGGGCTCCAGAGCAAACTGATTTAGGCAGCAGCCCAATCGCCCGCTCACAGCTTTAATGCCAGCAGCTCACAGGGCTCCACAGCTTAGAGGGAGCATTGCCTGCAGGTACCATAGACGCACACTTGTAAAGGATTTAATAAGGTAAATTTGATGTGTGGATAACTTAAATACATAAAGTAAAGCTGGCTCTCAAATAAAGTAAATAAGCCCCGAGGGGAGATTTGATTCACCTTTCTCTCTGGACAGGTGGTTACCTCAGCAGACTCCAGGCTGCTCTTTCCTCTCACAGAGCACACTAGGGTTGCCGGCCCCCAGGACCCAGCAGGGCTCCCCTGCTTTTGCGGGCTTTTATCAGCTGCCAGACAGCTGGCCAACAGGGGAAATCCCCCCCCAAAAAAGCAGGGACATTGTCTCGTGATAACCCTGACACAATGACATCACTTCCAGGTGATGTTATTGTGTTGGGGATGCTGTGCAGTGGCACTCTGCTTTTTGGGCAAACTCTATGGTTTTGAAGTCAAAAGACCATAAAGTTTTGCCCAAAGCATCGCCTGTGATGTCCCGCCCACCCCCCGAACGCCCCCCCAATCCCCCCGCCGCGATGGCAAGGGGACCTGGCAACCCTAGAGCACACCTTAACACTGAACCTACACACACAAGATAGGAAAGATGGCCCCCTAACAGGATGCTTATTTTTACCACTAAAATCAGTTTTTTCCCCTCAGCTGACCTCCAAACCCTATAAAAACCAACAAAGGCCCGGCTAAGCTGATGCTCCTTTCCAGTGCTGTGAAATCCCTGTCCAAAAATGGAAAAGGTTTCCTTCCCTTTTTAAACTGTGGTTGGCTCAGCCCCTCCCGTCCACGGGTACTGATTGGCTGACTATTGCTTAGATTTGCATGAGGCCTAAATCACGATGATTGGTTCAGAGCCCTGGAGGAGAGGCGGGACGTTTACGGATGATTGCCACAAATGTATGGGGGGGGGGATCGTCTCAGCATTGTCATTTGAAGGACTGTTTTTGCCTGTTTCTTTGCTTTCCTCCGTGTGACCAATAAAATAGTGTGCTGCAGACTCCCAGTCTTGGCTGACACAGGCATGTAGAAAGAAAAGGAAATTCAGCCGCTTCTTTAAAAATGAGGCGATTGGGGTTTTTCTCTGAGACAAGATCCTGAAAACAGAGCCTGTTCCAGCCTGAAGGCCCCCTTGCTGGCCGAGGTGCAGATGAATTCATGACGACCCTGAGTTTGAGTATATAGCCAGTTGTCTCGATATTTTTCTTGTTCTTTTCGCTTTTCTTTTGCGTAGTTTATCCTGCCTCCCTAACTGGTCTTCTTTTCTTCCACTTACAGTTCCTCTGTCTCAGGGACTTGGCATTTTACTTTATGATAGCTGTTTTTACTTATTTTTCACTTGTCTGGTTTTAACTTTTTTTTTGTAAGCCATTTTTCTTTAAGTCTGTCCGCTATCTTTTTTTTCCGTTTTAAAGAAATCTTGTACGCTAAACCCTTTCTGGAACAGCAGGAGGGCACTCCTGAGCCATTCACACACATAATTCTGGGGGCACCACCGGGCACCACCACAGACGATAATTAATCCATTATTTTGTTTTTTGTATTTTGTAGTGTTGAAACTATGCCCATGAAAAAGTAAGAGATTTTGATTGCTATTCTGGCATTTGAAAGGGTGGTGGGGGTTTTTTGTTCTTTTTTTTATGGAGCTTGCTTTTTTATTTTTATTTTTATTTGAAAAGGTGGGCTAGTTGGGATATGTTACATTTTTATTCTGTTTTTTCCGCATATTGCTCTACATAGTTAGTTAAATGCAGAGCATGTCGAAGTAAAGAGTGTTCTGTGGAATTAATTCAATTTCCATGGCTCCATGTACACTCTGAGATATTCTACAGGCTCCAGTAAGGGTGTACCTGGTTACACCATTATAAATACTGAGCTTTTCGCATTGTTTTGTTATATTCGCGGGGGGGAGTTGGGGTTGTTGTAGGTTGCCATTGGCAACAGTTTTTGGAAAGGCAACTGCCACAGCTTATAAAAACAGATGGGTAGAGTTGTGTTGGTCTGAAACAGGAGAACAAGGTTTGAGTTCAGTGGGAAAACACCCTTGCCATACTATCATTCATCATCTTTGTAACCATTACTCTGTATGAAGCTGCATCTTATCATTAATCCCGTCCTTTCTTGGTATATTTATTTTATTACAGTTTGGAAAATGGTAATAATGGTTATCATAAAGAGAATTTATATGGTATACACAATCCAATTATGACCAGGTAAACGATGTTTGAAACTGCCTGCCTTTTGAGTCCTCACTTAATCTGTCGCTCTGCACGTTTCTCTGCATGCTGGAAGCTGGAACCATTTTCTTTTCTGCATGCCTTCTCCCTACTTAGTTCTTTTTAGAATGCTCTGCACAGCATGAGATATCATAACTTCACAATGAAATGGCACAGACTGCAAAAACTTTTAAGCCACATTCTGCCTCAAAATACGTCCTGTATCTGAAAATTGCAGATTCTCAGAGGTGGTATTCACTGTATAGAAACCTTTCTATCTTCATCCTGTTTATGGAGAACTACCACTAGTTTGAACCGGAAATCCTCACATTGCTTTTTCCTGTTTACAGGGCTGTAAAATGCTCCTCCACTTTCTGACAAGACACACCCCTCTTTTAAAAACGTTTAGCATAGTGGTTTCAATTGCCCTTACTTACCCTCAGTGACATTCAACAACCAAATCTGATTGGGTAGATAATGGTATGATGTCATTCAATGCACAACTCTTTTGTGGGTGGGGTCACCCGTGTAGTTCATCCACAGGGAAGGAAGAAACAGCAACTAAGGGAAACAGGACACAGTTTTTGAGGACCAAGGATAAGAAAATGCAATAATATTTTCTCGTCCAGCAGTTTGGTCATGAAAGTGTTTGTGCAGGGTGGAATTGGACTTGCCTCTAAACTGTATCAAAACAAAAGTTCTGAATCTTAGAAAAATGTCTGATGGTTTGAACAAAGAAGTAGGCTGCGTACATGCATGAAAACGGGAGCATGGGGGTGAACCAGAATTGTCTGACAGTGCGGGGCCCCGGAGAGAGCACTTGGATCACTGTAGGAGTTCCTCACGGGTCACACAGAACACTGATTGTCTCAAGGATGCATGATGTTGAAAGTGCCTCCTAAGAGATTGCTTCATAATTATATAACAGTTGAAAATATATGGCCATGTGAAGGTGCCTCATATAGCGTCAGCCCCCCTCTTCATATTCGTCTAGGGCAGGGCTGCCTACTTTGACCACCAGGGGCCCACCAGGGTCTCGGGCTGACATCTTTCTTAGCCCTGCTGCTCTCTGAGGTCCTTTTCACGGGAAATTCCATGGTTTGAACCCAGGACTTCCTACATACAAAGCACGTAGTCTACCATCAAGTGATGCCCTCTCTGTAGTGCAGCCAAAAGAACACACAGAACAGAGGTATTTCCTACAGCTAAAACAGTCATTCTTACACTGATTATTTTTTAAAATAATTGTTATGTACATCCATTACTCTAATTAGTATTATATCTCTTGGTTCTCAATGAGTTCAGAATTCCTTACATAGGACTCCATCATGCGAGCCGTCTACAGGGCCAGAATAGCAGAACAGAAGGACAGTTTCAGGCATGTGCTTCCCCACTTCCATGGAATGGAAAGGCTGGACATTATATGGAGCTTTGTCTCAAATGTCTAGACATCCACTGTGCTCGGAATACTCGAGACCTTACTGCACTCTTGTGAGCAGAAAATGTTTGCTTGCGTGTAAGCGCAACAGGACACTATCTCCTTCCAGCATCAACCTCTTGCACTTTGTGGGGTGCCACCCTGGAATTGGGGTAGTGATGACCGGAGCATTAGAAGGGGGCAGCTAACAACCCCCCCGTGTTCAAACAGATCCTTGGATCCTGTCCATTACCTTCATTGTTTCAGATCTACATTTTTAAGTAGAATTTTTAACAAACAAGAGGGTACTTGAGACTATAATAAATAAGTTGCGTATAAAAGTATTAATTGCTGTAAAGCAATCAGTCTTAGTCTAAAGCACTCTAATAAAGACATCTGATGTCTTCTTCGTGGTCTCTGTGCATCACACCTCTGAGATATGTTGTGCCTGTGCTGACCCTGATTGGTAAACTTGAAAGATAAAAGGGATTTTCGCACCCGCTCCCGTGTCACATGCAGGGGACTCCACTGTGCATGACTACAGGGAGGGGCATGACAATCCCACCAGTTTTCTTCTGACTGCCACACTGTTAGGATCTCCTTCGCTCCAGTCGGTAACTTCTCCTTTTCCTGGCCTATTCGGCCCTTTTTTCTTCTACCTCATCTTCTACAGTCCATGGAACAGACTGTAAATTAGTGTTAGATTTTTCAACGAAGGGCTTGGCCCTCATGGGCCACCCTTCCCTTATAGCCCTCTCTTCGTCTGCTGGCTTATGGCCAAAAGGTGTGGCTTTTCCAAGCGGTGCTTGAAGTGCAGCAGCAAAATTGCACCCCCTGACGGACACTCCCTCTGCCTCTTGTGCCTCAACTCACCAAGTTGATTCCTGCATACACTGTTCTCAGTTTTTGAGGCAAATGAGAAAGAACAGAGCTCCCAGATTATGCAGTGCTCTCCTGGAATCAGCACTGTCACCACCAATGCTCCCTCTAAGCTGTGGAGTCTTGTGAGCAAAAATTCTACTTTGTGAGCGACTGGCGTTAAAGTGGTGAGCGAGCGATTTGGCCACTGCATAATTTGGTTTGCCCTGGAGCCCTCCTTCCTGAGCCAAGACAGAAATGTGTGAGCCGGAGGCTAAAAAACTGTGAGCTAGCTCACACTAACTCAATTTAAAGGGAACACTGGTCACCACCTATGGCGTTGTCCCAGGAAACATCTGGTCACGCCTCGATGTTGACCCTGGCTTCGGCATCGACTGCCATGCTGTCTCCAACTCCGGCTCCTAACGACATTGATTGACTGATACTCAAACACTCGGTCCCAGCGTTGAAGTCCAAAACCCACACCCCTGCCCAAAATGCAGAGCGGGTAAGGACATTAACCCTGTCAAGCAGAAAAAAGCACAAGAGAGACGCAGAAGGACCTAAGGGCTCCCCTCCCAAGGTTCCATCGACACCTCATTGCATAGCAGAACTGTCCTCTATGCCTCCGATTAAACTGCTTGACTCTCCGGTCTGCAACCGACCACAGAGTGGAACATCCTTGCCTGATTTGCATCCTATCCAGCTCACAGACTTGGAGCATGATATGGACTTAACTCAATCCTCCAGCATCGAGAGTCCCCATACTGATGGGGGACAATGGAACTTTCCACGTTCCTCACCACATCACTGGTCCACTGATGATCAGGATCGACCATCAGGGCTCTCCCCTGTACCAACTCCATGGGACCAACGCCAATGGCAATTCCTATACGGGGCTTACCCACTCTCTGCTGGCATGCCTTGGCTTCCGCCTTGTACATGGATGGAGTGGGATTGACAATCCGTGTCTTCTCGCCTCTTTCAGTATCGAGAACCCAACCCGATGCCAGAGAAACCACTGAAGCAGCCATCGGTACCAACAGACAAGCGACATAATCATCAACCTGTACCCAAAGAGAAAGTTCCCCCATCGATGCCGACACCCTCAGTATCAAATTTCTCTACACCAGTTCAGTACTTGGAGCAGTCCAACCAGTCAGATCTTTCTAGCATCTCAGCACAAGAATTGGGTGATGAGGGCCCAGAGCATCCGGCAGATCCCTCTCCCCCGTAAAAGATGTTGGAGGTTCTTCCAATCTCCCCTTCAGAAGACTTAAAATCATATGGGGAGTTCATCAAATGGATGGCCAATACTTTGACACTGTCCACCACAAAAACCCCACCCGTGGTCAGTGACACAGTTTCAACATCGTTCAGATGGACACTTCAATAGCCGTCGCCCTCCCTATGATGTCCATACTACTGCAAGCAGCAAAGTCTCCTTGGCCTCATCCAGCATCCACTCCGATTTTCAGCCGCAGAATTGACCATGTGTACAAGATCCAAGATACAGGAGCTGAATTCCTGTTTACACATCCTAAACCGAACTCTGTGGTGATCATCTCGTCCTCAAAAGGTAGGTGCATGCACTCCACACCTCCTGATAAGGAAGGGGAAAAGTTGGATTCCTTCAGGGGAAAATTCTATTCTGCTGGTGCCCTGGACATAAAAACCTTTAGTTATGCAGCCTGTATGGGCAGGTACCAGTATGCCTCTGGGAACAACTGTCTGAGTTTATTGCATCCCTCCCTGAGGATCTCAACTGTCAGGCTAGATGGATTCAGAAAAAAAGGGATGCTGTTGGCTAAATAGCAACTTAATTCAGCCAAACATACATTAAATGCACCAGCCAAAACGCTTAACTCAACCATTGCTCTTCGTCGCCACGCATGGGTGAGATCCACTACCCTACAACACGATACCAAGTCTTACATGAAAGATCTTCCCTTTGAGGGTGAAGGTATTTTTAGTTCCACCACAGACACTGTTCTTCAGGACCTGGATAAGAGTATAAAGACATCTCATAATCTAGGTGTATCTTCTTCCTCCAGACAGAGTAAATCCAAATTCTGGAACAAGCCTTGGTCTCACCGGTCCTTTCACAAGTCATACACTGAAATGCAATGGCAACAGAGATCTTCTCATACATCTCCTCATGTGTACGGAACCAAACCTAAATTCGCCACTACCACTCAGTCTCGAACCAAAGCTTCCAAGGGCCCCAAGCAGGGTCTTTGACTCGGGACTCTTGTCCCTGCCATTGGGACCTACTCACCTCCATCCCTACCTTGCTGCCTGGAGACAGATCATGTCAGACAAATGGGTCCTTTCTCTCATCTCAGATGGGTATATGATAGAATTTGCCATGTTCCAACAGTGTCAACCTTCATTGCCACTCTTTCATCCACCACTCTCCTAGAAGAAGTGCAAAATCTGTTAAACAAACAAGCAATAGAACCTGTACCCCCTCACAGCTGCCCTCTTGGCTTTTACTACCATTATTTTACTGTCCCCAAGAAGGATGCAGGCCTCCGTCCCATTATGGACCTCCGAGAACTCAATTGTTTCATTGCCTGCAAAAAGTTCTATATGACATCGCTGCAAAACATCCTTCCCCTTCTGGGGCACAGCGTTTGGATGGTGACCCTAGATTTACAGGACGCCTATTTCCACGTAATGATACATCACTGTCACAGACAGTTTCTTCGATTCACCATAG